ATTGCTTAGTAAGAAGTAAGTTTATCTCATACACTAGCCTTGGAAAACATTTCCAGGATAAATAAAAAATCAATCATATTAGTGGGATACAGTCTAAACAAAACCTGGCAAATCAGCAATCTTATTTACAAGACAAGGCTTTGGCACGTAATTGATTTCTTTGCAAAAATATACTCGTTTTCTGGCTTTCCAAAGGGTGTTTCTATTTACAAACCATAATTTACTATCTACAGTCACCCGGTTGAAATATAATACATAAATCGATTTTTTTTTTAGGAAAACATAAATCGATTTTTTATTCCAAAATTACCCTTTTAATTGAAATGGGTGCTACAACCATCATAACATTTCGCATCTCAAATTTCTTCTCTTACCATTCTAATCGTTAATTGAAACCTTCTGGACAATCATCATAGATGAACACAACCACTTTCTCCATTTTCCATTCTAATCCATTTTCCATTTTTAATCCACCTAGAAGCCTTCGGGCCGGTATTCGATTTCTTGGAACATTTCGAATTTAAACTGTTAGATATTTTTTATGGATTTGTGATTCAAATTATACTACTTAATATAAGGATTGGATGTGTTAAGTGCTCTCTCTCCCTAAAACATGAAGTATAAAGTTTTTGATTAAGGATGTTTTTACTTGGACTGTAATTTGCTGGTCTGGTCTGGTCTGGTCTGAACTGGTCTGGTCTGGTCTAGTCTGGTCTGGACTGGTCTAGTCTGGGACCCCGCCACCTCCGGTTGTTTGTCAGTTGTGTTTTTTTTCCAGGTCATTCAGCTCTACACTGTTCCCGCTTCACTTCATCAAATACTCCTGTTTTGGCCGCATTACCTACCGGTGAGATGGGGAGGTGGGCGGGGGCTACGATGTGGGGGCCGGAGCGTGGTGGTGCTGGAGGTGGATGCGGGGGGCGCTGCTAGTGAGACAGGTCGGGCTGGGTGAGGGGGCATATGGGGTTACATTCTGGTTGTTGGGGAGGTTGTTCGATGGGCAGGTAAGGTGGTGCGGTGGTGACTGGCCGGGGCTGAAGGTTAAGGTTGTGGCTGCGGACTGGCAGTTGGGTGGAGGGGATGATGGGTGGCTGGGGGATGGGAAGTCAAGTCGGGTGGTGGGGTGGTGGTCTGCGGCGGCGGTACAGGGTGATAGTCATGCGATGGGGGTCCACAGTGATGGTTGGCGACGGCTCTAAGCGGGGTAGGCTGGTGACAGGGTTGCGAGGAGCAAAGAAAGGATGGGGAGACGGTGTCACTGTGACCGGAGTCGGCATGTCACTGTGGTGGTGTCACCGTGACGGTCGTGTCACTACGATGGTGTCATCGATGGCGTCGTGTCACTCGTGTAGTCGTGTACTTACTTTTTAGGAACAATGCATTGTTTTTAAAAAGATTACTATGTGTATAGAAGTTGTTCTCTTCACCTGATCTGAATGTTTCTGATCTGAATTTTTTAAGTTCTGATCTGATCTGATCTGAATTTTTATGATCTGATCTGTATCTTTTTGGTCTGATCTGAATCTTTCTGATCTGATCTGAATGGTCCTGATCTGATCTAAATGTTCCTGATCTGATCTGAATCCTTCTGATCTGATCTGAATCTTTCTGATCTCATCTGATTTGAATATTTCTAAAATTATAATTACAATTATAATTACTATAATTATAAATGTAATTACACATATATAATTTAAATATAATTATAATTATAATCATAATTATAAAAATTATAATTATAATTACAAACATAATTATAATAGGTATAATTATTATTATACGTATTACACTAGTTATAAATATAGTTATAATTATAATTGTAATTATATTTATAGCTATATTATAATTATAATTATAATTATAATATTTATTTCTATAATTTTAATTGTAATTACTCCGTATAATATGATAATAACGAAAACAAAACTAATAACAATAACAACAACAATCATATTAGTAGTAAGAATAATAATAATCATTATAATAATAAATATAATAATAATAATAATAATAATAATAATAATAATCATAGTAATCATAGTAATAATAATAATAATAATAATAATAATAATAATAATAATAAGAATAATAATAATACTAATAATAATAATATCAATAATAATATTAATTATAATAATTACAATAACAACAACAAGAATAATAATAATTATAATTATTATAATTATTATAATTATTATAAATATTATTATAATTATTATTATTATAATAAAAAGGATAAATCATGTCTGAACATTTCTGATCTGAATGTTCCTGATCTGATCTAAATCTTTCTGATCTGATCTGAATCTTTCTGATCTGATCTGATTGATTCTGATCTGAATCTTACTGATCTGATCTGAATTTTTCTGATCTGATCTGAATAAAATAAGAATAAACAATAAGTAATAAGATTAAGGGAAAAAGACATAAGTAGGACTAAAAGATGCTCGTGGAACTTAAATAGGACTCAATGTTTATTAACTCCCGTCTAGGACTATTTTTTCCCTGAGGGACAAAAATACCCTCACATCTCACGCACCAGCCACACAACACGCAACGAAGCCGAATTCACGAATTCACAATTCCCTGGCCGTCCTCCATCGTATCCATCGGGATTCAAAATTCCCTGACCGAAGTTGTCCTCAATTCCGTTGACCTTCATCTTGACGCTCGAATGTTTTGTGTTAACTGCCGGTCTGCCGCTAGTAATCGCCGGAGTATATGCCTCTGGTCGTCGCCAGATCGTCCTCTTCTTTCTCTTATTTTTTGATGCTGCTTCTTTTCAAGTTTTGTTGAACAAAAATGGGGTTGAAAGCTACTCAGTTGATTCTAGCCGGAGCAATTAGGATTTTCCGATTTGTACAAAACCAATTCGTTGTTCTACTTGTGTCTCGATGACCTGTGGAGAAGGAAGGTGACATCGCTGAGCTCAGCAAACTCAATTATTGAGCTTTTTCTTTTTGTTGTCCAGATCTATTTGTGATTTTTCCCTTCTTGCTTTCTTCTATTTTTTCTCAATTTTCCATTTTGTTTCATTGTTGTTTTGGAGTTCCCTTTGTTTCGTTTCTCTAAATTCTTACGTAGTATTTGGTTTTCCTTTCTCTTATTCTATTTTTTTTACCAAATTCTCTTATTCTCTTAGTTATTCTAAATTTTTCTATCTACTTGTACCATATAGATTCTAATATTGTGTATACTTCATTTCCTTAAACAATTTCACGTTGTCATTTTCACAATATTATTAAATAATATCACAATATCACAATATTATAAATGAACAAACATTATTTCTTGACAATTGTACAATTTTAGTATCACAATGTCATAATGTTATTACATAATGTCACAATATTACAATCACAATGACATCATAAAAAAACAATGACACTTGTTAACAATGTCATATTGTTATTACACAATGTCAAAATATCATAATGTCAATGTTATGACACTGTTTATTGTACATAACTAGTGTCATGGAATTACAATGACATATCTTGACACAATGACAATTCCAATGACAATGTCATAAAAATGTCAATGTATAAAAATGTCATCGAGATAAGAAAATGTCACAATGACAATGTCATTTTCGATGCTATAAAATGACATTGTCATTGTGACAATGTCAATATAATAGCTATTATGACGATGTTAATTTTATAAAAAGAAGTCACAACGTCAAAAAAATCTTGTAATGCTAATTAATCACGATGACAATGTCATAAAAATGTCAATGATAATGTCATAAGAATGTCAATGACAATGTCATAAGAATGTCAATCATTATGAAAATGACATTGTTAAAACTAATGTCAAAGCTATAAAATGCGGAGTATAATTTTTATTTCAGCAGGTGCAATGTTTGCAAGACAAAGCCAATTCACATTCATCACTCTTAAAAATGACATCAAAATAACATTATAACAATGACAATGAATGTCATTGTCATTAAAAATGACAACATTATAACAATGTCATTGCTATAATTTAGAAAAATGTTATAATGTCAATTAAATGTCACAATATCAAATAATAACAAATGCAATGTTATAAATAATGACATTGTCCTTTCAAAAAAATAATGTCATTGTAATAATGACAATGTCATTGTCAAAATGTAAAAAAAAATTACAATGTCAAAAAATATATCTAAAAATAATTAATAGAAAAATACCTAAAAAAGCTAGAACTCAAAAAAATAAATTAAGTGAGTAGAATAGCATTAAAATAAATACAGTGTATTCAACAACAAAAAAAATGAAAGGAACCAGATTGAAAAAAACGCAAAGAGAATCAAAAGTTAAAACGTAAGGAACCGGGCTGGAAAAAAGTAAGTCAGATATTTCCCCGATCTAAAAGAGAAGAAGAGAAAGAGGAGGAGAGGAGAGGAGAGGACAGGAAAAGAGAGAACGCAGCACGCCCTCCCACCGCACCGCCGCACTGTCGCATCGCCGCATTGCCGCATCGCCGCACTGCCACACCGCGGCATCGCCTCACCGTCTCGCCACGCACCGCTGCAACGCTGCACCTTCTCTGTCTTTCCCCATCTGCAACGTCACTATAGCTCAACTTTTCCATTATTTTTTAAGATGCTTTGCCTTGCTTAGGTATGGAGGAAGGAGAGAGGGTTTGACGAGGATGTTGCCTAGAGATAATAAAGTTTGGCGTGAAAGGAACATGTTGTTGCCGAGAGATAAAACAGGGGCAATTTTGGAAACACCGAAAAATTCAGTCCTATCTAAGAGTAAAAAAAAGTCAAGGTCTTATTTAAGTATATACTATCCTCCGTATCATAATAGTTGCAACATTGGAATTTACGCATTATCCATGCACTCTACTTTGACTACATTTTATTTACTAATGTATGTGAATTATTTTTTTCGAAAAATATTTTTGAATTCGTCTCATTACGAAGTTTCATAATCTGATTTTTAAATGTTTTTTACTAATAGAGAATTAAATATAATGACAGTCAAAATTGTGCATTGGCAAGCGTGAAAAAGGGAATGTTGCAACTAAAAAAGAACGGAGGAAGTATGAAAAGCTAAGGTCTTATTTAGCACCATTTCCCTAATATTAAGACGAACATAACAGCTTCATAGTCATATAAGCAGGGGCACTATACAAGTAATCAGTGAAAAGAGTACCCACATTAACCTTTCTTATTTATTTTCAAGCAAATGAGGATAGGACACCCGCTCAGATTAATTGAGTAAATTGACACAAACATAAAATGGCATACAATTGACATTAATCACTGTCTTTGACCACAACATATTCCTTATTCCTTTTTTTTTACTCAAAAGATCGCAGAGGATAGGCTGAACTTCTCATAGCAGAGGTCTAACCAGAGATCTCAATGGATTTGACTTCGGGCTTCTTCACTTCCTCTTTGGGAACAGTTACAGTGAGCACACCATTCTCCATTGAAGCCTTAACCCGATCCACCTTGGCATTCTCCGGCAACCGGAACCTGCGAAGGAACTTGCCGCTGCTCCGCTCCACGCGGTGCCACTGGTCGTTCTTCTCCTCCTGCTCCCTGCTCCTTTCCCCACTGATCTGCAGCACCTTCCCTTCCTCTACCTCCACCTTCACCTCCTCCTTCTTCAGCCCCGGTAGATCCGCCTTGAACACGTGAGCCTCCGGCGTCTCTTTCCAGTCGATCTGCGCATTCGCAAATGCCGACGTGTCGCGAGCAGAGCCGACGGCGTTGGAAAACGGGAAGCCTTGGAAAGGGTCCCAAATATCCAGAGAGAATGGGTCGGAAACGTGGCTCCGGCGACCTCCGAAGATGCTTGGAATCAGAGACATAATTGACTCAAATCTGAATTTGTACTTCCGTTAAGAACAGTCGAACTGATTTGGACTTCGAATTTGATGATTAATTTAGCTGAATTCACTTCGATGAGCATCGCAAGGAGCACGAACCGGTTTATATACGAGAAGACGATGGAGCCAGAACTTTCAAGTAGCTTCCAGAGTCGTTTTCAAATCTTCCATTACACGGGTCTGGTTTTTTCCTTCATCCACATGGTTCTACAACGTTCCAGATTTATTCAATTAATTTGGGCCGGAATGATTAAAAGCTGTTGGACGGGCTAGGAATCCTAGGATGGTTCAAATTATGTTGTAGGGTTGTATACTATGAAGCACGGATACTTCCCTAGGGTAGCGTATCCGCGTATCGGATACGTTCCCGTATCCGATACTCTAGGATACCCGTACCGTACGTTCCCGGACCGTATCTGCAATTTTTAAAAGTTTCCATTTTTTTTTTGTAATTTTTTGAAAGTTTCCGATACTCGTATCCTGACGGATACCCGTATCAACCATTTTTTTTAAAAAAAAAAATCCCAAAATTTACTTAATAAAATTCCAAAAAAAAATGAAAATCTAAAACTACATTTTACTTGGTAATCAAATAATGGGCCTATATGGCTATATCCGAATCAAGTTATTAACTCATACTCCGAAGTGGGTACTTGCACTTTTAATTTCAAGATTGTAGTTGTTTGACTTATTTCACATTTTAAATTAATGACTTATTGACTACATTTATATTTCGAGATACACTAGTGTATATGAGAAATATTATGAATTTATTACTAAGTATCTTGAAAAAGGAAAATGCTTCAATGCAATGAATGGGTAGACATCATAGGATATTATATGTATACATATATATATATATATATATATATTCAAAAAAATCTATTTTAATATTTATAAATAGACCCCTATAACTTTTAATATTTGTAAATACACCCCCATAACTTTTAATATTTATAAATATGGCCCCGTATCCGTATCCTACTTTTTGTGGTTTTGACGTATCCCCGTACCCGTTTCCGCGTTTCCGCGTTTCCGCGTACCGGTATCGGTGCTACATAGGTTGTATATAATCATCATGTTGTAATTTTAGATCAATTTATTTTTATAAGAATTCTCTCTATTCTCTCTATCTCTTGTATTCCCTCCGTATTTAAAAGTTTTATGTACTTTCCTTTGAATGTATTTAAAAGTTTCATACACTTTAATTTTTGGTAAGTTTATCCTTTATAAAATACTTAACTATTCTTACTTTATTTACTCCCCCGTCCCTGAATTTACTTCCGTAGTACAAATGGCACACAGATTAAGAAAGTGAGAATTGTGTGGTGGAGAGTTGTGCTGAGGAGAAAGAAATGTGTAATAATTGTTGTGAACCACAAATTCTTTGCCAAAAAAGGAAAGTGAAGTTCTTTTTGGGACGAACGAAAAGGAAAAGTTAGAAGTAAATTCAGGGACGGGGGAGTACTTTTTATCTTCTCTTTTATACTTTTACACACTCTCTCCTACTTTTTCTATACTATTCACTACCCTACTATTCTATACTAAAATGTTATGTCCAAAGCTAGTGTTCAGTTCATTTAAATACGCAAGGAGAATGTGTTTTGTCCTTGAAATAACGTGTTTTATATTTTACGGTTGTGATTTGGGGGCAGGAGTCAATCGTATGTCATTGTCTCTATTCAACAAGCTTGGAATAGGGGAGAAAAAGATTCAAAGGACATCTGTGATACTACAATTGGCGGATCGTTCATTAAAAAGACATTTGGGCATCATAAATGATGTTTTGGTGAAAGGCAGAAAACTATACTCCCCCGCCGACTTTGTTGTATTTGACATGGAGGAAGGGCCGGCTCCCGTCATTCTCGGAAGACCATTCTTAGCCACTAAAGGAGCACAAATCGATGTCAAAGGAGGTAAAATCATATTCCATCTTGATGAACAAATACAGGAATTCTCTATGAGAGGATAATGCATCAATAGGGATGATGGGGGACAATAAAAATGAGGATGCATATGAAGACGTACTCGAGATTACACCGGCGAGTGTGTAAGGGATCTGTGAGAGCTATTTTAAAATGAAAGGGCTGTTTTGACAAAATAATCGAATCTTCAGATATGATCTATTTTTGTTACAGAATACTCCATATAGCACTAAAAATAGTTTGACCGCTGATGTTTTGCTCACACAAACAAATAAAATATTAAAACTATCAGATCTGAAGGATTTGTGCGTTTTTTCGGTAAAAAAACGTTTTCGTTATGTTTGTGAGTAAAAGAGGTTGTGTAGGTGTGTTGTGTGTGCGTGCATGTGAGGGATCGGGTAGGGGTTTGTGGGTTTGGTGTGGTGGTAGACGACGGGTGTTACCTGTGTTTCTGGGTGTTGACCGTCGAGATCCATGACCCCTTTTTTTCTGCTTTCAGTGGTTTGGGTCGTAGCTACGGTTTTTCGAAACCTGTTTTGGTGGCCGGAGTGCTGTTTGTGAGGTCTGAATCCATTGCATGGGGTATCTCTTGAAATCTCTGAGGGTCGTTGAAGAGAGAGGGAGGACCGATGACTTCTGCAAGTCGACGAAGTTTTAGGACGAATCTGGGGGAATGAGGATGTGGCGTACGATATTAAGGCTGGGTTATTTGGGTCCAGATCTATATTTCGTTTGGCCGGCCCATCCTTTTTCATCTGGTGTTTTCCACCCAATTTGTTTTGGGCCTATTTTATGTGGTTATAGGAATTCAGAAGTTTGTGGTGTTTTTCCAATTTGTTAATATTGACATTTCCTTTTAATACTTTAGGATTTTTATCGGAAAAAATAAATAAAATATAATTATTTTGATTGGGTGTGAGATGAATTCCCCAAACTTTATTTTTGTATTAAACATTCCGAACTTATTATAAGAAATAATATTTGGACCATGATCAGGTAACATTAATCAGAATGTATAAATTTATTTTGCTGATTGCGTAACTAAAATAAATTAATTTTGTGAAGACATTATTAACATTATAGAGTTCTGTTTCATGACGAATAATTTTATTCATGAATGGATTTGTCATTTTGACAATTTTTTCCTTTTTTTAATTATTATACAATTAGCACCATTGATTTATAAAATATAATGATAGTGTAGATAAGAAAGTGAGAGTTGTGTGGTGGAGAATTGTGCAGAGGAGAGAGAAATGTGTAAGAATTGTTGTGAACCACAAATTCTTTGCAAAAAGGGAAAGTTGGAAGTAAATTCAGGGACGGAGGGAGTACTTTTTATCTTCTCTTTTATACTTTTACACACTCTCTCCTACTTTTTCTATACTATTCACTACCCTACTATTCTATACTAAAATGTTGTGTCCAAAGTTAGTGTTGAGTTGATTTAAATACGCAAGGAGAATGTGTTTTGTCCTTGAAATAACGCGTTTTATATTTTACGGTTGTGATTTGGGGGCAGGGGTCAATCTTATGTCATTGTCTCTATTCAACAAGCTTGGAATAGGGAAGAAAAAGATTCAAAAGACATCCGTGATACTACAATTTGTGGAGCATTCATTAAAAAGACATTTGGGCATCATCAATGATGTTTTGGTGAAAGGCAGAAAACTATACTTCCCCACCGACTTTGTTGTACTTGACATGGAGGAAGGGCCGGCTCCCGTCATTCTCGGAAGACCATTCTTAGCCACTGAAGGAGCACAAATCGATGTCAAAGGAGGTAAAGCCATATTCTATCTTGATGAACAAATATAGGAATTCTCTATGAGAGGATAATGCATCAATAGGGATGATGGGGGACAATAAAAATGAGGATGCATATGAAGACGTACTCGAGATTACACTGGCGAACAACGGAGGTCTCTCAAAACTCTACAAAATGAAAGGAGGCATAATGATCAAATTTTACCGGAGAAAAGCACTTCATCATCCGCCTTAAAAGAGGTACATTTATCCGGCCTATGACGTAAAACTAAGCGCTAATTGGGGGGCGAACCATAAAAAACAATCATAATCTAAACTCAGACATCATGCAGACATTTCCTACTCCCGAAGATGTCTCATTTTGTTATTGAAGATTTCATCCTCCATTGCATTCTCTACTCTACATTGAGGACAATGTAAATCAAATGTGAGGGTGAATAATTAGTTAGTTGAGAATCTTTTTCTTTGCATATTAAAAAATTTCTGGGAAGGTTAACATGTTTAATATTCTCCCTTTTAAGGGTTTTGGTTGAGAAATTTTTTTTGTTACTCACAAAAATGTCATTTTAAAATAATTAAAATATTTCTTAATCCCGAAACCACCTTTTTCACCATAAGTTGTGACAATTTTCCAAATTCACACAATGTGCATAGAGTACAAATTCAAAACAAAAGTTTCACCCCAATTTGAAATCACTCTATATTGTCAGATTATCCTCATTTCTGATAATCTAGATATATAATTACGGAGAGCCAAAAAATGTGTTTATTCACAAAAAACAAAGCAAAACAAATTGTTGAATTTAATCCAACACGATCTAATAAATATAGATATAAATACTGTATGAACACATTTATTAAGTGGAAACTCGAAAGGGAGAAAACCACGGAACTTTTTAGGCTAATGTTCAAGCCTTATCCTTCTCATCAATGCTTTCATCACCATTACATAGTACACATATTGAGCCATGGTCTCAATCCTGGAAGAGCATGGGCGAAACTGGCTCTGAAATGGACATGACGGCGCTGAGGGGCCGATCGTCCTGCATAAAGCCATGGTCTCCATCTTGGAAGGGCATGAGTGAACCTACCATGAACTGGACACGACGATGCTGAGAGGCCGATCGTCCTGCACAAAGCCACGGTCTCCATCCATGAAGGGCATGGGTGAATCAACCGTGAACTGCCATGGCGGCGCTGAGGGGCCGATTGTCCTGCATAAAGCCATTGTCTCCATCCTAGAAGGGCATGGGCGAACCTGACCGTGAACTGCGCATGACAGCGCTGAGGGGCCAATCGTGCTGCATAAAGCCACAGTCACCATCCTGGAAGGGCATGGGCGTACCTGACCGTGAACGGAGGAGCACGACAATGCTGAGGGCTGATCATCCTGCATAAAGCCACGGTCTCCATCCTGGAAGGGCATGGGTGAATCTGACACTAAAGTGGACACGACAGCGTTGAGGGGTCGATCGTCCTACATAAAGCCATGGTCTCCATCCTAGAAGGGCGTGGGCAAACCTGACCGTGAACTATGCACGACGACGCTGAGGGGCTGATCGTCCTACATAAAGCCACGGTCTTCATCCTAGAAAGGCATGGGCGAACCCGACCATGAACTGGGCACAACGGCGCTGAGGGGCCGATTGTCCTGCATAAAGCCACGGTCTCCATCCTAGAAAGGCATGCACGAATCTGATCGTGATTTGGGCACGACGGCGCTGAGGGAACAATCGTCCTGCATAAAGCCACGGTCTCCATCCTGGAAGGTCGTAGGCGAACCTGACCGTGAACTGGGCACGATAGTGTCGAGGAGCCGATCATCCTGCACAATTCCACGGTCTCCATCCTGAAAGGGCATGGGCGAACCAGATCGTGCA